TACCATGTTCACATTAACCCCGGCCAATCAGATTCCATACCATGTACACATTTACCCCGGCCAATCAGATTCCATACCATGTTCATATTTACCCCGACCAATCATATTCCATACCAGGTTCACATTTACCCCAACCAATCATATTCCATCCAGGTTCACATTTACCCAGCCAATCATATTCCATACCATGTTCACATTTACCCCGGCCAATCAGATTCCATACCATGTTCACATTTACCCCTGCCAATCAGATTTCATACCTGGTTCACATTTACCCGGCCAATCATATTCCATACCATGTTTACATTTATCCCGGCGAATCAGATTCCATACCATGTTCACATTTACCCAGCCAATCATATTCCATACCATGTTCATATTTACCCCAACCAATCATATTCCATACCTGGTTCACCACATTTACCCCAACCAATCAGATTCCATACCAGGTTCATATTTACCCGGCCAATTATATTCCATACCATGTTCACATTTACCCCGGCCAATTATATTCCATACCATGTTCACATTTACCCCGGCCAATCATATTCCATACCATGTTCACATCTACCCCGGCCAATTATATTCCATACCATGTTCACATTTACCCCAGCCAATTATATTCCATACCATGTTCACATTTACCCCAACCAATTATATTCCATACCATGTTCACATTTACCCGGCGAATCATATTCCATACCATGTTCACATTTACCCAGCCAATCATATTCCATACCATGTTCATATTTACCCCAACCAATCATATTCCATACCATGTTCACAGTTACCCCGGCCAATCATATTCCATACCATATTCACATTTACCCAGCCAATCATATTCCATACCATGTTCACATTTACCCAAACAAAATAAAATAAACATGTAAAGCCATCTGAACAAGTGCTCCTGCATATCACATGTAATAAATATATGCACAATAATTGTTTGTTTCTCGTTCACAAAATTTTATATTGTACACTGGCCAAGTGTTTGACAGCGTAAATTGGCGATATTGTTATAGCTAGTCATTCCCCACAGCAAACTTTAAAGCAGATGATAAGAAAGTTTATATTGTACACTGGCCAAGTGTTTGACAGCGTTAATTGGCGATATTGTTATAGCTAGTCATTCCCCACAGCAAACTTTAAAGCAGATGATAAGAAAGTTTATATTGTACACTGGCCAAGTGTTTGACAGCGTTAATTGGCGATACTGTTATAGCTAGTCTTTCCCCACAGCAAACTTTAAAGCAGATGATAAGAAATTTTATATTGTACACTGGCCAAGTGTTTGACAGCGTTAATTGGCGATACTGTTATAGCTAGTCATTCCCCACAGCAAACTTTAAAGCAGATGATAAGAAATTTTATATTGTACACTGGCCAAGTGTTTGACAGCGTTAATTGGCGATACTGTTATAGCTAGTCATTCCCCACAGCAAACTTTAAAGCAGATGATAAGAAATTTTATATTGTACACTGGCCAAGTGTTTGACAGCGTTAATTGGCGATACTGTTATAGCTAGTCATTCCCCACAGCAAACTTTAAAGCAGATGATAAGAAAGTTTCAATACTGTTAAGAGTAAAGTAGAGGTAGATTTATTTAAGGCAGTAAAGAAAGTTTCAATAGATGGTGAAAATTAAAAGCTTTATTTATTGATATGGGGACAAATGTTCACTTTAGCAATGGAAGCTGCACTATCATTATAGCATTTCCTGTAGTATAAAACATAGTAACGCTACGATATGACTACATTCGGTATCAATATGGTATTAACATGAATATCTATATATGCATCATCCCTTGTCATTCTGGTCAATCACCCTAGTTCTCCCAATCATCCTAAACATGTATTCACGTTGTGCTATATAATTTGATATTACTATACCTGTTCGTTTTTCAATATCTCGATATCTAGCTATCGACCTATTCGCTAATACCCCCCATATAGGATTCGGATCCAATGTTCGAGTTATACGACCTTCATCATAATGTGCACCAAAAATAGTTCGGCCATGCTTTTCTTCCACAGTCTGTGGTAAAAGAGAATGTGGAAAGTTCAGATATTAGCAAAAATAAAACAACTGTAATCAGGAGGTTTGTAAAATATCAGTTTTTTATCCTAGTTTATGTTATGTAAAGTGAATTAATTGTCAAGTTTGTATGCCATGAAAAACAATAAAAAAAGTTATAAATACTAAATAAATCATAAGACGTAACATTATTGTCCAAAAAGCACTCTGATCGGAAAGACCTCTGATATATCTGAAAAGAACTTTAGCTTACAATGACCCTATATAGCCTCCCAAAATTACTATTTCCATGGCAACTGCATCAAGATATCTCTCAAAATATATTTATATTCAATTGGTTTTTGACTCAGGGGCATGAGAATGTATCCCCAACTTTTTTAGTTGTCTAGATATGATAAATAATCCTTTTCAAAAAATCCTGTCTCCATGAGCAACTGTGTCCAGAGCTCACCTCAAAACTAATTGATTGGTCCCTGTCTCAAGGAAAGCCCCTTTAATAAATGTCATGAAAATTTGTCCACAATTGTTGAATTATTTGACAATACTGGAACAATTTTTTCAACACATTCTTGTCTCCATGTCAACTGGATTCAGATCTCTCTCAACATCTGTCTAAAAGGAACCCCTCCGAAACATTTCATGAAAATTCATCCATTATTCTGATTTTTAGTTATTTGGCAATAGTGAAGAATCCTTCCAAAAACTTGTGTCTCTATCGTCCATGTCTAAAAGACCACCTAGAGATGTCATGAAAATTAATTTACAACATTTCCAGACACAGACAGACAAACAAACAAACAAACAAACAAACAAATAATGCTGGCAAAATATAACCTTACTGACAGATAATAAAAAAAATTGTATTTTGATTAATTATACTGCAAATTTTTTGTAAAATATTCATGCATGGAGGACAAATTTAAATAAAACGCCTAGAATGCATTTGCTTTGGTCATGTACATGTGCTTAAGGATGAAATGTTAATAAACCTAGCACAAGCTCTGCAATATTATATTAAATAAAAGGCAAATGTCAACCTACAGATGGAAATCAAAATCTAATTCCAGAATGAAGCATTACCTTAGGTTCTTTTGGTCCAATTAAGCATATTTTAGCAGCTGGTGATATAATAGTTGCATGTCTAGCTGCAGCAGAACCGATAAGACCAGCTCCAACAATACACAAGTCATATACTACTCCATCCATGACTGTGACTCAGAACTCTTTGAAAACTGGAAAATACAATTAAATAACAGTTCTGCACCTCAGTATCGAAACCAATTAATAATAATAATAACTTTATTACACTACTAAAAACCTTCAGAGGGTTTTTGTATGGTAAGGAACATAAATACAAAAACATACAATACATAAGAGATAGAAATAAAATGTTAGTAAAATAAAAGAAAAAATAAATTAATTACTTTCTGTGGTTTTAAAAATTGAGCTCTTTTGCTAAGGATATATTATTCTCCATAATCTTTTTAAATATGGAATTCACATCCATTGTGTAAATATTTATTGCACACTCATCAAACAGTTTTTTTCTTTGTTCTATTTAGCCAGTACAAAATAGCAGGAAATGTTTTTCATCTCCTAATGCTTTAGTGTTACATTTATTACAGTGTCTGTTTTCTAATTCTATTTTGGGCTTTGTTCTTCTACCTAATTCTATTTCTAAGTTGTGGTCACTCAGACGGAATTTTGAAAGCATTTTCCTGAGGCTGAAATTTGAAATGTTTTGCAAATAATTTTCCATATTATAACTTACTTTGAATAGTTTGTATGTTCTCAGTTTTGTTCCCCTATTTTCATTGGTTTCACTGAAATTTAGTTCTTCTCTCCATCTCTGAATATAAATCTCAGATAGTCTGAGTTTTACTTTTTTTTAGTATTCCAGACAACTGTATATTTTTTTGAAAATAGCAACAAGTATTTCAATACCTTACTGAAATCAGAGTTACTGTACAAGGTTAGGTCAGAACAGGCCAATGTTGAATGATGTAAACGTACAAATCAACACACTATTACAACAACACCATTAAGCATTATAAATAAACCACTGTTGTACATGCAGGGTAGTGTATCTGATTCGTACCATGTGGTTGTCAATCATAGAAATTTAATAAAAATGAAAATGCTATTCATGGAAGGAAGTTACTGTATGCCTTATATATTCATGAAAACTTTTGAAAACCTACAAGCTCAATTGATAGGATTATATTACATAGCTAGGATTACTAACCAAACTTAGTACACACGTAGCATGTGTATATGTACCAAGTGTTAAAGTTCATCATACGATTACTGGCATAATAAATTTTTATATTTCAGATCTCATTTATAATTACTATGGATCAGTATTTGGGGAACTATTCTATTCTATTCTATTCTATTCTATTCTATTCTATTCTATTCTATTCTATTCTATTCTATTCTATTCTATTCTATTCTATTCTATTCTATTCTATTCTATTCTATTCTATTCTATTCTATTCTATTCTATTCTATTCTATTGTGAAAATCACTACAAAATCCAAGTTTTCGTTTCAATAAGATAGTCAAATACTAAAAGAAATTATGGCAAACTAGTTATTGCATGAATGCTGCCAGAAATCATGTCCCCTCAAGTTATTCACATAATCAGCTAAATTTGGAAAGAAGAAACTTAGATGTATAGATAGACGTCGACATACAAACAATGTAGAACAAGGTTAATTTTTAAACAGGTCATGATAGGGTCACTAATATTATCCACATTTAAAGATTTTGATTAAAACTACAAATATTTAAGCAGACTTTGACCCCGTTGCGGTGTATATCAGTGATACAGGCAAATGTTGCACCATCATACAGTAATCAGTAAAACTAATTCTTGTATAGTAATCAGTATGTTTATGTAAATACATATATAAAGAAGACAAAACCTACAGCGAATTCATCACAATTTTTTGTGTGGTTACATTTAATTAATTACTAAAATCTAGAATTGAAGTATTGATTTCCATATTTTATTTATTGTTATTTTTACTTATTTATGTCTATTTTTATTTTAGTTGGCATTATTCAATTTTCAAGGCTCCCTAACCTGAACCCTAACCCTAACACCCCAGCCCAGCAATATAAGTGTTCATCGCACTCCAGATAATGTGTCTTGAAGATAGGGCATATACAATTAAAATGAGGAGGGGGCACTGGAAGGACAGGGTTAGAATTAGAGTTTATGGGTAAGAGACCTAGAGGAATAAATTCTCACCACATAAAATATCATGATGAATTAAAATGCAAAAAAATAACAAATTTATAGAAATAAAAACAATTTTAAGTCATTTTTTTCAGTCATTAAATTTGTCTTGAGTAGAATCGCCTATTAATAATTAATATAACCCTTTGTCACTTTTATCTGTATTCAAAACTTTTCCATCATTATCAGATTGCTACATTTCAGTGGTGGGGGTTTTGCACAGTTGCCGCTCTCCTACTAATGATCAACCACTCACGTGAGATAACAAAATCCAAATCGGTGACATATGCTAGTGCCCTCTAGTGGTAAAAAGTGAAGTTAAAAGTTTTTTTCTTTAACATTTGATTACTGTAAAATGATTAATTTTCACTGGGTTTAAATATCGCTGATTTACCATTTCAGGCATATCCAGTGGGTTTTAAATTCAGTTTTATCATTTAGATAATGTGTTCTAAGCTAATTTTTACATATTTACTGGGTTTTAATTTAACGCATTTTGCAGTCAGCGAAATAAGCAAAATTAAAGCGAACCTAAATGCCGCCTTAATTTATAGTTGTGTAAATTCTAAACTGTATTCGAAATAATATTGCAGTGGTTTAATTTTGTTTTAATTATAACTGTAGCTTGGATAGGCATTTGAAGTGCTTGCCATGGAGGCCATTCATGGAGGGGAATAATTAACGAACAAACATATTTAACATCCGGGTACTTTTCAAAGCTATGACGTTTTAGTATCTGATCGCATTCGTATACGCCATTGTACATAGCCGTTCATGCTGCCAAGCATTGTGTACTATTAGTATAAACTCAACTTTTATATGCACAATGTGCTTTTTAAAACTTGGGTTAGAGCCTTATGCGTTTGAACCACAGTATTCTGAGAGTGAAAGCCCAATTTCGTTAAAGTACCGTACTTCCCCAATCGTAAGCCGTTTTTACTTGGTATTTATCGAGTTGAGAGTATTCACGATTATAAGCCCAGAGTGTTTTTGCTGGGTGTCGACGATATGCGTGTAAATGGTGTGTTTCATTTCATAATAATCGTGATTGGCATGTTAGTTTGGTTCATGCTTTTAGGTTTATGAGAAAACTCGCATTAATTTCAAGTTCAGAGTGCATGGCGAACGCACACAACGTGATTCGCATCGTTTCTATTCTGTCATTTACTCAGGATGAACATCGATGTTGCAATTCTGGAGTAATCCATATTTCTTTGAGTAGTAGCCTTCGAAAAGCCAAAAATGTGATCGTCAAGGCGTGTACCTGGTTATTGGGCATGGTTTACTTTGAGACTATCATGAAAGGCCTAGGGTTTGAATGATGAGACATGTTGGCGACCGAGAAAGGTGTTTAAATTCTTCCTCCACAATCAGTTTACCCACGGTTACTATTAACCGTCGTTTATATTTCGGAAATTGCGAATCGCCAGTTTTTAGGGAAAAAAATCATCGTTTTTTCGTTGCAATCAGTGCTACAGATCGCATTTTAACATTGCGGTAATTCACTTCCGCATTGCGCTAAAAAATCATCGTCAATAATCGGAAAATGTCATCATTACGACACATCATTTTGATTGGTTAATGAAAGACATGACCTGTTATGTCAAAGGAAGTTGTTCCAGGTCAAATCGTGCTGAAAAACCTCATGGTGGAAAATTGTTTTTGTTTTGCGTCGAGAGTTTGCGTACGATCGAAAACATACCAAAACGAAGATAATGATA